CGAAATGCCACGTCACCATTGAGAAGGATGGGGGCTGCAACCACATGGTCTGTCGGAACCAGAACTGCAAAGCAGAGTTCTGCTGGGTGTGTCTGGGCCCCTGGGAGCCCCACGGATCTGCCTGGTGAGTTGGGAGCATGCCTTGCTGGAAGGTGAGGAGGTCATGTTGCAAATGGAATGGATTTGGACTGACATCTGGGGAATTGCTGTCCCTGTTACAGGTACAACTGTAATCGCTACAATGAGGATGATGCAAAGGCAGCAAGGGATGCACAGGAGGTGAGTCCATAACCTTTGGTGACAAGGGAGATCACCAGCCCTGTGGTGTTCTCTGTAAACCTGCACATCTGAAGAAATTTATGGATCTAGGCACAAATCCAAGACACAGTTAAGTCCTTTGACTTTAAGATAGGGATGGCTTTGCCTGGTATGTGCTGCCTTTGTACATCCACAACACACAAGTTGAACCATGCCCGTGCTGTTATTTTTTTACAGCTGGTCTGTCAGTGTGAAGAAAATAAGATTAATGACTATGTTGAGTCATCTTGGTTCTTTTGCACTATTTATGTAGCACATGGTGCCTTTCCCCTTCTCTATAATGAACCTAAGGTTCCCCTCTTAACACGAGCACAATAATTGTTTAGTTAGAATTCCTTATTAGCCCGAAAAAGAGAGAATCGTTTTCACACTGTTTGTCATGACACTGGAAGCATTTGAGTCTTGTAACTTGAATCAAGAGGCTGAAATACAAAAGACTTCAGCCATGTGACTGCAATTGCTTCCAAGGTTGGGAGTGAAGAGGTCAGAGCTGTGCTAGCAAAACCCCTGGTGATAGCGAGTGGCCACGGGGCTGTCTTGTCATCTCCACACAGCGCCAGGTTAGTAGGGCTGCACAGAGGAGAGCAAACTCCTCTGGAAAGGAAGCTTGTTCTTTGGGTCAGGAAGAGCCTTGTGAAGGGTTTGCTTCTCTTGCAGCCATTACTTTGTTTTAACTATTTGTTTTCTTTTTCCCTAATGGGAATTAACACAGCGATCCCGAGCAGCCCTGCAGAGGTACCTGTTCTACTGCAACCGCTACATGAACCACATGCAGAGCCTGCGCTTCGAGCACAAGCTCTATGCTCAGGTGAAGCAGAAGATGGAGGAGATGCAGCAGCACAACATGTCGTGGATTGAGGTGCAGTTCCTGAAGAAAGCAGTCGACGTCCTCTGCCAGTGTCGTGCCACACTCATGTACACTTACGTCTTTGCCTTCTACCTCAAAAAGAATAATCAGTCCATTATCTTTGAGGTAGGAGAAAACGTGGTTGTCAGGAACTCAGATTGCATAGCTAAGGAAATAGAGGTTTAATGCTTGGAGATCTCTTGTCCCCACTTTTACCAAAGTTAGTCTGTTCTTAATATTCTGTTGTGCAAAAGTTAGAGGCCCTGCTGGGCATTGTGTGTGATTGTCTGCTGGAGGAATCACAGAATCACAAAGTTGTGGCTGCCCCATCCCTGAAAGTTTTCAAGGCCAGGTTGGACAGGGCTTGGAGCAACCTGGGCTAGTGGCAGATGTCCTGCCCGTGGCAGGGGGTGCAATGAGATGAGCTTTAAGCTCCCTTCCAACCCAAATCCTTCTAGGATTCTATGATTCTGTGATTCTTTGTTGCCTAATCCCACTTTTTATTTCAGTACTGATTTCAGTTGTGCTTGAGAAAAAATATCTCCCTTTCCTTTACCCCTCCCAAATACTTTTTTCTTTTGTCTTTGCAGAATAACCAAGCAGACTTAGAGAATGCTACAGAGGTGCTTTCTGGGTACCTGGAGCGAGATATATCCCAAGATTCGCTGCAAGACATAAAGCAGAAAGTACAGGATAAGTACAGGTTTGTGTTGGAATACTCCTGTCTCCCAAAGCTGACATCCCCTGCGACAGGTAGTGGCCTGAGCACTTGCCAAGCTCCAGTTTTGTCTGGAGCCACGTCCCTGGGAAGCTGTTTGCTGTTGGCTCTCTGCCATACATTGTGATAGCAGCCAGTCCCCAGGCATTGAGAGCAGCAGCAGCAGCAGTGTCGTGCGCCAGCCCCCGAATCCTCGGCGGTGAAGCCCTCACACAGAGCTGGCAGTGTGTTTTTGTGTCCCTGCTGGGACCAGCTCTCGGGGGAGGTGACAGCCTGCGGGGAGAGGCTCCCAGCTCTGCCTTCCATCTGCTCTGCAGAGCAAGGAGCTGGAAGATTCAATCGTGCAATAGAAAAAAATCTTGTGACCAGAAGCAATGGCTCTTCATACACTCCTATTCCTGCACAGAAGGAGCGTGTGGGAATGGCCAGGAGCAGGATGGGATCTGCATAGCGAGGGCCAAAGAACAAGGAGTGACTTTGTTGTTCCAAGCTGCCAGCTTTGGCCTAGGATGAGTTGCCATCAGAGAGCAATCAGCTCTTTTAATCATCCTTTGGGTCGGTTTGTGCAGAACGTGGGTGTAGAAAAGCTGTCCCTAAAGAGGAGGGAGAGAGCAGCTTGCCCAGCTGGGGAGGGGAGCAGGGGACCAGGATCCAGGTGACACAGATGCCAGTGCTTTGTGCATTCCCAGGGGAATCACTTCTGCACAGTGGAAAAATACAAAGCTGAAAATGCGGATGAGTCACAGGATTATGGCTTGCATTTCTGAGGCATTTTGCCAGAGTCACTGAATTTGTTATGCCTGACTTAGAGGGGGGAAAAAAAGCCAAAATAGGGTGAGCCGTCGTGACTAAGGGACTGTGGGGAGTGGAAGGAGCTGTTAAGCTTTGGTGGGCCTGTGGCCCATCCTGCCAGAGTCTGGCAACACAACTGGGGTGAACAAGCCTTACCAGACCTTCTTTTTGGAGACAGTTTGTAATTTACTCGTTAAGGCCACCATTCAGTTGGTATTTCAGATCAAGCTGCTTGTTCACATCAGTGCTGAGCCTGGATGCTCTTCTAGGGATGAAATTAAAACCTTATATAGCCTGAATTGCCTGGAAACAGCATCCCAAACCTGCCTTCACATTTCTGGTAAGCAAGTATGCATCTGTCAAGCCTGTGCAGGTCCCTAATTAACTAGTTCAGTCATGTCTTAATCGTGTCCTGCATGGTGTTCTTTGTGCACTGATGTAAGACTGGGAGCAGGATGTCATTGAGGTGGGTTTAAGGAGCTCTGGGAAGCTGCAGGAACTTCCCCCTGGGCTGATTTGGTTTCAGCTGTTTGGATCTCTTTGCATGCAAAGACATTTCTAGAAAACAGGATTAAACTCCCCCACCACCAGCAGAAAAGTAACTAAAGTTGGGGAAGCAGAATCTGTGTGTGTTTACCATCACATGCTTCCCAAAATCAATGGGACTTTGTGTATGAGGGTTTCTGTTGCAACAGCTGACAGCAGTGAGAGAGCCATGACTGTTGTATTTGGATAACTCTGTTGGTGTGAAGGGTAGGTGAGGAATTCCTGTCAGGTGTTAGCATGTGTTGTGATCAGGGATAGCTTCCTGCTGGGAGTTTCCTCCTGAGGGCTGTTTGGCCACTGCTGACCAAGCCCAGCAGCCAGGTGCCATCCTGACCCATGTACA